ATTTTGGCCGCCAACACCCTTGGGGTGAAAGGCGTCCTAGTGCGGAGCTGAATGAGGGGCTCGCCTGAGCCTTCGGCAAGTTTACGTTTCATTTCCTCCACCTGTGCCCGGAGGTCAGCGTACTCCGGATCTGGCCTCGTTGTGGAAGCCGTCGGGGGTGCCTGTCGATTCTCCTCGAGTTGACGGAGGAGGGCTTCAATGATTCCGTCCTTGGGATCCTTCGGGGCAACCCCTTGGGAGTTGGCCCGGAAGGATTGCGCCTGGTTGATCTGGTGCCTGGCGTCATCGGCGTGGAGGAGGGCTTTGCCTTTGCTCCGTGGGGGAGGCACGCCCTCGGCGCCCGAAGCAGAGGCTCCACTCTCCTGGGGCCTGCTGAATGCCTGTTTCCCGAGGCGGTCTTGGACCCCTCGGTGTCCGGGAGCTTCCCCAAGCCTCTCAAGTACGGAGGTTCGGGGTTTCTCTTTCATCATGGGGCGCTTGTCCCTGGATTGGGCCTCTTGGGAGGCGGTATCCTGTGCCATGACCCCCTCGGCGTTTCCAATCCCCGGGGGAGGATTGTTGAACAGAGGGGGGGAGCGGTGGCAATTGAATAACGTTTCCTCCAGCGTAGGGCTGGAGGGGTGTCTGAGAGGCGAGGGCTCCGGAATTGAGAGCCATGTTTTGAACAAAGGCCGCAAAGGCAGCCTGAAGATCGATGGCCGGGGCCGGAGGGGGAACTTGGTTCTCACTCCGATCCCTCCTTCGATTATCAAGGCCAATGCGGGCATCAGGGGCGTTCTTCTGTAGTTGCTGACGGAGGTCAGCAGTAGCCTGCTCCAACTCAAGGATGATACCACCCTCGGGTACTAAGGGCCTGTTGGAGGCCTCAGCCCCGTTGGTTTCGCCGGGGGCTATGTGGTTCTCCTCAAGGGTTTTGGACTGGGCACGGGTGGTTCTTCCCATTTTTGGTAAGTATTTTGTGTTTGGTAGAGGGGGAGGTTTTCTCACTTGATTGTTCTGACCTCTCAACGAGAGCACCAAATGATGGACAGTCTACCCGGGGGGTATCTTATCCGAGGGGTTGTTACGGGAATAACTTAGAGAGAAGTCAGAGAAGATAGGAGGAGGGAGAGTCGATTTTATTAAATGAACTCGAGATGTGGAGTTGAGATGTAGATCATGTCCGTTACAAGGAGAAACGGGCTGCTATTTATAGCAGCAATAAATGCGATGAGAGGACACGTGTCAGTAATCCAACGGCCGAAGGGTCACATCAGCCTGGTGGCACCGGCAGTGGTACGTCAACCGCATTGAATGCGGTTGGTGGATGCGACGTGGCATTAAATGCGGTGGTTGGCTGTCTCTAAAAGGAATCTTCGATGATTGAGCTTGTTCAGCCGAAGGCACCTTGTGTTGCCGAAGGCACCTTGTGTTGCCGAAGGCACCTTGTGTTGCTGAGGGCTCCTTGTGTAGCCGAAGGCTCCTTGCGTAGCCGAGGGCTTCTTGTGTAGCCGAAGGCTTCTTGTGTAGCCGAAGGCTCCTTGGGTAGCCGAGGGCTCCTTGTGTAGCCGAGGGCATGAGAATGCCGAAGGCTCATCTTTTTGTCCGTTTTCTTCCGGTAGCTTCTTATGCCAGAGAAGGCTATCCTGTGAGTTTTTGGAGCCTTCGGCCAAGGAGGCCGAAGGCCCCCCAGTGTGTATTCTGGGCTGCTTTGAGGCTTGGGCCGCCGCATTTTGGGCCTGAGTCGTTCCCTGGGCCCCATGAACTTGTGTAGGAGAAGTAGGAGTCTATGGGCCGGGGGTTCCTGGGCCATATACTCCATCATATGTATTACACAATTATTATTAAATGTTAAGTTATTATATTTGTGGTTTAGTTTAGTTTATGAGTGAATTTACACTTTCATTTCCAATAATAATATTGTTATATTGATCTATCATGTGCATCACGCATGTATATTACAGTTTGTTGAATGATGGTAATACTATGTATGTTTTTTGTGCGTATTACAAGTAAATTCTATTTTTATGTAACTTAAAATGTTTATATTTACAAAATAAATAAATATTCATCTCAATTATACCTATTAGAACATACTACATACTAGTATACTCCCTCCGTCCCGTAAAGATGTTCCCGGTTTGACCTACACACATATTTAGGAAATAAATTTGACTTTACTGTTTATACACTGTTTGACACTGTTTAGACACTGTTTGGCACTGTTTAGACACTGTTTGGCACTGTTCGACACTGTTTTGATGTAGGATAACTTTCCATTTAGGGAAAGGGAAACTTCTTTTTGGGACATCCAAAAAAGGAAAGCGGGAACATCTTTGCGGGACGGAGGGGGTATATATTCATGAACTTTTTTCAAACTAGTCGCAAAAAATGTAAAATAATAATATATACACTTTTATTACAAAAAACTAGAAAATTTTGATTACTCTCACACATATTCACATTATTCAAGATACATGTATTCTTTCTCTTTTTTATGTTATTTTATTTGTTCTAGCATGCTTGCATTCTTTTATGTAATATTTGTTTCCCCCAAGTATTGTATCATTTTAAATCAAATGACATTTTTCGTTAAAAAAAAAAACCAAAAAACCCGAAATCGAACCGAAATAAATCGAACTAATCAAAGCTTGGTTTCAAGTATTGAAATGCAAAATTGAACTGAAACCGAACTGAACTTTTTACTTTATTTTCATATTTGATTCTGGGTCAAAACCAAACTGAACCTACCCCCAGAGGAGATGTGAGTTATGCATCCAATGTCTTGTACAGTATTAGTCATTCTATGTGGCTATAGTTTATCCGGTTGAGTTCTATAATTTGTTTAAATATTACGGAATGAAATTTTGATACAGGGTACTTCATACGGAGTATGAAATATGAAATATTGCTATAACTAAGTTATTATTACATTCACTGCTGACTGCTCTAAAAAAATCACATTTTTATAAATAATATTTACTTTAGTCATAAATATTATTAGAAGTTTTTAAAAAATATTAGTGAAATGAAACTTATTTACAAAAAAGTAACTAATAATTATTATAATATAGTTTTATAGACATAAGTGTAAAAATTGAACATAAATTAAGGTATATATTGTGACATTCATTTAGTCATGTATAGCCGTATGTATTATTTCTTACAAAAACTGCAGCATTGTGACCATATCGTGTACCTGTAATTCAATGTCACTCATCGAACAATGCAATTATAACTAAATATAATAATATTAATAATATCAAATGCTATTGCATAATGAAATATCGTTATGTCACAATATTGTAAACAAGCTCACAAATCACAGTATAAAAAAGCTTTAAACTAAAAATATTTCAATGTCACAGTATTGCAAACGTCAAAAAAGTTTCACAAAATTGCCAACATGCAAAACTAACTAATTAAAGAAATGAAATTTCCATCTCGTGTGCTGCTTTGTTTACCTTTCACATAATACATATTTAAAAAAAATCAATAATCTCATTATGTACTACTATTCAAAAATTAAAAGTACATTTGGTAGAGTACAACTACCCAAGTTTAACAACAACAAAATTATAACTCAAGAATTTGATACCCTTTGAAATAATGACCCCTATATTACTAAAAGATTTTTGGATTCTAAAAATGTGATTCTTTTCATATTTTCCACGTAAATGACTCATCCTCCTAATTAACCCACCGCTTTGGTGACTCACCCCAGAATTTTTGTCGCCTTCCATCCAACCCCCTCTTGTCGGCCCATTGCTCACAGGTCAACTACCAACGCCGACATGCGTCCTCCATAGCCCGCCGCAGCCCCCCATCCTAGCTTGCTTGAGACTGAATCCCTATAAGTCATCGTCCTTGACGCCCCGTCGCATAGAGGAGAGGGTCAAGACAGGGTTTGTGTCATAGCTTGGGCCCTTGGGGTGTGGTGTGGTGGAGGAATGCGGCTAACCGGCTGTTGTAGTGGTTGGGGGCTGGGTGGTGGTGGAATGCAGCTTTGCCGTGGCTGAGGATGGGGGAGGGTAGGGGTGGACGCGGGCCGGGCGGCCCGGCCCGGTCACTGTTTGAACCGGCCCGAACCGTCGGCCCGGCCAGGGACCGGTCCGGGTAGGCCCGACCCGCTGGGGTTCCGGGCCGGGCTTGGCCCCTGAAAAGGTGAACCGGCCGGACGGTTCGTTGTGGTGGAGAGGGTCAAGACAGGGTTTGTGTCATAGCTTGGGCCCTTGGGGTGTGGTGTGGTGGAGGAATGCGGCTAACCGGCTGTTGTAGTGGTTGGGGGCTGGGTGGTGGTGGAATGCAGCTTTGCCGTGGCTGAGGATGGGGGAGGGTAGGGGTGGACTCGGGCGGGGCGGCCCGGTCACTGTTTGAACCGGCCCGAACCGCCGGCCCGGCCAGGGACCGGTCCGGGTAGGCCCGACCCGCTGGGGTTCCGGGCCGGGCTTGGCCCCTGAAAAGGTGAACCAGCCCGGACGGTTCGGGCCCAGCCCGGGCCAATTTATTTTTTTTCTTTTTTTTTTTTGAATTTTTTTTAAGTTTTTGGGTTGGGTTGGGTGTTTTGGGCCATTTGAGCTGGTTTGGGGTGGTTTGGGGGTGAGAGGGGAGGGTTGGGGGTTAATTAGGAAAAGCCAAAAAAAAAAAAGTTGAACCGAGGCCCGGCCCGAACCGGGCCGGTTCCGGGCCTCCCCTTTCATGAACCGAGGCCCGGCCGGGCCCAGGACCGAACCGGCCCGAGTCCACCCCTAGGGGAGGGGCTGGGAAAGATTACTCTTGGGTGAAAGCCATTGGTGACGGTGGTGGTCAGTGACATTACTGTCGGAGCGGTAGTTCACTGAACCGTCTGAACGAAAAGTCACATGACATGTTTCGTGGCGGCACACGGCGGCACAAGGATATGCTCCATATTTCACGGCGGCACAAGGACATGCATAAAAAAAGTCTCAGTGACATGAAAAATCACAATGACATAAAAACATCATATTTTTCAAATATATCACTTTGTTAATCACATTTTTGTCAGCACTTAAAAGTAGTCACCTCTTGGAACTTGGCTTTAATTGAATAATATTTAGGGGAAATCCCTTCTCCTTTCTCAAATAATTCACAGTCAAATCAGGCAAATTCTTAAAATTCGATATGCCAATATGCACTACTTTTGCACGGTAATCAAAAGAAGTTGATCATCTTCCGATAACTTTTTTAAGTTTTTCTTTGACTTTGTATCACCTAGTGTTTGATCTACACATGTCAATTTTGCTCCAAAAGAGATGGTGAAATATTGACCGTTTGGTAGAATCATTTGTAAAGTTCACGACTTCTGGTAATATAAAAGTTGAGAAAGGCGGGCAGATCAAAAGCTGCTCAAGACAACTTGACTGTGGACGGTACCATTTTCCATCTGAACCCACGATTTTAGGGTGAAAGGACGCTGGGTGATCTCGATAATCCTTGACCCTCTATCCCAATTCCCATATCCACCATAGCCGGTATGACGAGCATAGCACAACCACAGCTTCTTGTAGGGGCAACACCAGTCCAATCCATGGTTGTGGCCAACAAACAATGCCTGCCCAGTGGAAAATGAAGTGAAAATAGAAAGTCATTATTGTATCTTCTGTTATCAAAAACATTTTGAGAGGCTAATCTGACCCCCCCCCCCCGGCACACAAATAATGATTATGAACCATAATACAAACATAAGGCCATCACAATCTTTTATCAATGATTGTAGAGTAAGACCATCAGGCTATTTGGCACCTAGTAAAAAAAGTTCAAACTTTTGCCCCTAATAATAAATTTTTGGTTCTGCCATTGCTTATGCAAGGTCCTTACCATCAGAGAAGATCTTCCCTCAAGGAGCTCCATAATCCCCATTTCAGCTTGCTGAGCAGCAACTTTCTCTCCAAACATTGAACCCACACAGTTTTTGTGTTGAGAAAGTTGTGCAGCAGCATCTTGATACTCTTGACTAGGTATATGCCAAAACATCAACTCTGGCACCCTGCAGTAGTGTCTTTCACTTTATTTGCAAGAAATGCTATATAATGTTATAATAGTACAACAATAACAGCAAAATCCTAGCTTAGTCGCAAAAGAGTTTGGGCTCGGCTAAGACACATGAAATCAGAGCTAAAAAGACGAAAAAGATAAAAAAAAAACAAGGTAAGACAAAAAAGAAAAGAAAAAGATAAGATAAAGATAGAAATGATAAGATAAAAAAGGGATAAAAAAAGGTAAAAGAGGATAAAAGGATCAAGAACATAAGAAAGATAAGGAAGGTGCAAGAATAAAAAAAGATGAAAAGAGATCAATCCTCCACACAAATATTTTCCCTCCGCTTTGATCTCTCCAATAATGATATAACACTGCAGGGAAAAAACATTTTTGTTGCATACAAATATGAAGTATAGAACCCACATGAGGAAAGAATAAAAAACATTGTTTCCAGGAAATGTTTCCTAATGCTTGAACTCGGTATATATTTGTGGGGGGAATGGAAATATTAGGGAACGGAAATAGAGAAGTAACAATAAACAGAGGATATATTGAAGAAAAGAGAGGTGGGGGAAACTGAACAGTTCATCACTCATTAAATACATTTTAGACTAGACATTTGCACATGTTGCGGATGCGTGGACATACCAGAAAAGGTCGCTCGAGGAATGAGATAATAAGACAAAAGGTGGAAGTAACACCTATAGAAGATTATGTGCAGGAGTCTCGATTGTGGTGGTTTGGTCATATGCGTAGAAGATTGAGTGATGCACCTGATAGACAAGTTGAGAGGTGAGGAGAAAATGTGGAGAGGGGAGGGAGAGAAGACCCAAACATACGTGGATTAGAGGGCTTAGGGCGACATGCTTCTTCTTGCATTGGATAAGAGTATGGTTTTGGAGAGAGCAAAGTGGAGGGCGGATATTTGTGTAGAGGATTGATCACTTTTCTCTCTTATTTTTTTAATCTTTTGATCTTTCTTATGTTCTTAATCATTTTTTATCTTTTTATTTTATATATTTTCTTTCTATCCTCTTTATCTTTATTTTTATCGTATCATTTTTATCTTAGATCTTTTTATCTCTCTTATATTTTTTTTGCTCCGATATCATGTATCAATTCATGTTAGGCGACCCCAAAATCTTTTGGGACTAAGGCTTGGATGTTATTTTTGTTGTTCAACCTCATTTCATTTAAATGTTTATATATTATAGGGAAAATGGAAACTAATAATCCAACCTTTTAGCGGTCTTCTTTCAATAATCCCACCTTTTGATTATTCATGAATAATCCAACCTTTGCACCTCATCTTCATTCATTGGTCCCTGGTCGGTTAATGAGCTACTATTCCAAGTTATTTTCTTATCTTTCCAAAATATTATCTTTGTGAAAGATGAGATTTATGGTATAATGATTTGCAAAGATAAGAAAATAGCTTGGAATAGCAGGCCATCAACCGGTCAGGGACCAGTGAATGAAGATGAGGTGCAAAGGTTGGATTATTCATGAATAATCAAAAGGTGGGATTATTGAAAGAAGACCGCTAAAAGGTTGGATTATTAATTTCCATTTTCCCTATATTATATATAAAGGGTAAGAAATAAAAGTAACATGTAAAATTTTTAGAGTTGTAAGCAAGTTAGATTTTCTTCGGGACAGCAAACACTAAAAAACCATTTTTCTAAGCACTTTTTTCTTTCATTACCTTTTCCAGAGTTCCATACACGCCATAACAGAAACTATGCCAAAAAGCCATAGTCAGATCTTTATTTCACAGTACCTTGCATCCGGATTGAGTTCATGAGCCGTGTGGTTGAACCACTCCACCTGGGCTTTAGAGATAACCTCAGGGTATGAGCCACCACCAGAATCTAGGAAGTACATGTACACTACAGCAGGCTCAGGGTCACTTGACAATGAAAGTTTAAGGACGTAGTTGGAAACACTGGGCCACATATCCTTTGGACCACTTCTAGAGTATGATAATATTGTGTTGCACTCCACTTCACTTTTTATCAAATCCAAGCGAGTTGTTCCCCTGAAGCTGCAATCTTCTTTGCCTCCTACAAAAGAAGCCAACCTAAGTTGTAGAGGTTCAATTTTCTCTTTAATTCTACGCTTGTCTTGATATTAAAAACCAGTAATGGAAAACGTTTTCTGGATGTCCATGTGTTTGGCACACGAAAACCTTTAAAAGATTTTCCAATTTTAAGCTTTAACTTTTGTGTATGTGGGTCCCAAGATTATATTATTTGTAGATCAACTTCCTTGCCAGCAAAACAAGGTTGTCGGATAATATATTCACCGAGACACCGACAACTTACTGCAAGGTAACCATCCAATGGACTAATCTCTACCCACTAAAAAAGAGGAAGAAAGAAACTATAAGATCAAGGAAGAGGAAATAGTATAGTCCACTAATTAAAAATATCTATTCAATATTCCAGAACCATTAAGCTTTTCCCCCTTTAAGAGATCCAACCATCATAACCAAAGACTGGCCTAATCATTATCATGTTATTAGAGTTTCCTTCAGATTGTCTTACTAAAGGTCATATAACATATTCATATTATCTCACCTCTTATGTAAGTAAATAAAAGTTACAGTATAAAAGACTATAAGTGACTAAAAACTACAAAGTATGAACTGACAAGAATTCCAAGATTACATGGAATATTTTACATAAAACATCACAATCCCCTTACCAGTTACAAATGATCATTAACTAAAAGTGCATAAAGTTAAATGCTCACATCAGCAACTGGATCATTGAATATGGACTTACCAGGGTATGAAAGGTTTTGTGGACACTGGATTGGAGGGACTCCGGACAATGAAAACCATTCCATTGGCCACTCAAACTGCATATCGTCATGGTTACCAAAAACACTAGCCCAAGGAATTCCTCTTGCTCTGGTAGGAGAGATTGCTTGGTCCCAATAAAAGCTAGCATTTTTTGTTGGTATATTGTTTGCAGTGATGAGATCCCCAAGATAAATCACAAAATCTGTCAAGAAGTGTCTTGGTAGAGATATCACAGAGCACATAATTGTAAGTTAATAAATAAGTAATTCACAGAATGCACTTAAGAGCAATATATGATCCATTCATTTTAGCAGCAAAAGGATTGTTACTCATTCACCTGGGTGTTCTTGATCGAGGATGGCAGACATTACTAGGACAGAATTTACATCCTGGCGCGGGCCCCACTCTGTCCACGCGTTCTCTCCAAAATGCAGGTCGGCGAACAAAGCGATCTTGAAGGGTGAGCCCGCCGGCACCTGGAGAGAATCTACCGGTTCGGTGGGCATATCCATTTCCCGGCGGGAATGACGGAGGTTAGATCTGGAATCATGTGAATGGACGATGAGGATGAATCCGAGAATGAAGGAATATATAATGGCCTGGAACGTGAAAAGTTGTAGCATTGTGCGGAAAATTGTACGAGCCCGGACTTCCAGGAGGAACGATAGAACTTCGCTGATAGGTGCGGTCTATGCAAGCTGCTCCAGTCCAAGCCGCCGGAGAAAATACTCTTGTCTTCTTCAATTATTATCTCCATTGTTTATTTTTATTTTATTCGGCAGTTCACTACTTTAGTTCTCAAATACGGTAATTTGATGCAAATTACCATCTTAATTGTTCTTTTCAATTACCATCTTCTTACTTTTCTAACCATATGATGCAAATTAGCGATTATATACGGGAGTGTTTGCAACTGCTTCTGCTTAAAAAAAGCACTTTTGGAGATGTAAGGAAAATGTGATTAGTAGGAAAAGTTGATAGTGTTTGAGAAAAAAGTGATTTTGAAAAGTAAAAGTTGGTAGTGTTTGGTAAAATAATTGCTTTTTGTGTAATAGAAAGGGGAAAAGCACTTTTCAAACGCAAGCCGAGAAAAAATAAAAATTGGTACTGTTTGGTAAATAAGTGCTTTTTTAAGCCAAAAGCTGAGAAGTGCTTTTTTAAAGTGATTGCAAACACTCCCGTAGTATCCTGGGACTTGTTTAACACACCTAACTTATTTCATACATTCGAGTTGCAAATTGTTAGTACTAAGTACGTACGAAGTATATAAAATAGATATTCACCTTTTTGTTTAAAAAAGTTGAAATGAATTTTTTCAAGTAACAACTTCTGTGTAAATTAAGCACATAAAAGCTAAAAAACTGGAATCAGATGAAAAAGTGTTTTAATTTTTTTTCATTTTTTCTATTACACAAAAATCACTTATTTTACCAAACATTACCAATTTTTAATTTTTCAAAAGCAATTTTTTCACAAACACTACTAACTTTTACTCCCTCCGTCCCTTATTGTTGTTCCAAATTAAAGTGGCACGGTGATTAAGAAAGTGAGAATTGTGTGGTGGAGAGTTGTGCAGAGGAGAGAGAAATGCTGTGAACCACAAATTCTTTGCCAAAAAGGGAAAGTGAACTTCTTTTTGGGACATCCCAAAAAGGAAAGTTGGAACAACATTTAGGGACAGAGGGAGTACTATTAATCATTTTCTCTAAAATTACTTAAAAATATATTCTAAATAGAAGCAATTGCAAATATTCTTGTTGGGATATATTATCTCGGCCTATTACTGTTCAGGAGCCGAAGACATTATCCAGTACGGAGCTCGAGCAGCTAGGCCCGTTTCGGCCCATTCTGGCCCACTTTAGCCATTTGGGCCCATTCCGGTCCATGCGGCCCATTAGGGTGGATTATTTCCCCATCCCCTTTCTCTATAAATAGGGAGCTTAGCCTCCATGTAAAAGATCCCCCTTTCTTCCTCCTCTTTCTCCCTAGATTAGCTTTATCCTCCATTAATGGAGCTTGAATATTTGTACCTTGTAATGATGAGGAGAGTCCTAATGAGAAAGAGAGGGCTTGGACATTAGCCTAAAAAGTCCCGTGGTTTTCTCCCTTTCGGGTTTCCACGTAAAAACTGAGCTTGTTCATACACATTTATACATATATTTACTATATCGTGTTGGATTAAACTCAACAATTCTTTTAAAATATTAGATAAAAAGCTCAGTTGTTTTAATATTAAGAACATTTAAAAGAAAATGTTAATGAATAGGCAATAATTCATAATCTTGGCCACTACGTGAAACATACATATATATAGAGAGAGTGTTCTTGGTGTCCGGAAATTCCGGACAGGAGCCCCGTCTGGCCTCCTCCATTTGGGGGCCTTCCCGGTTGTATTTTTTGCTCAAACTTTGTGTGTATGTTCCTCATCAAGTCTAGTTCATCCATACCAAATTTGAGCAAAAAATTCAATTGGGGAGGTCGTCAAATGATTTTTGCAAGTTAACTGGTCCGGAATATGTATATTCCATACAAAAAAAAATGGGTCAAAAATACCACCGGGAACCATCTCAAATTGAGGTGGCCGGACAGGGGAGTGGTCCGGCCTGGCCGGACCTGAATACTCTTGTATATACAGAATACTTTTTACGGAGTGTTAAGTTTTGTAGCTGCTTTTTTCTCTTTTTATCCATTGTACTCCCCCCGTTCTTTTTTATTAGTCCTTCTTTCCCTTTTTGGACGTTTTTTTGTTCTCCTTTCCCTTTAAGGAAAGTTTTTGAGAAAATACCCCAACTTTTATTACTTTTACCTCACTTACTTTTTACAAACTACTTTCTCTTTCCTATTTTACCATCACTTTACTCTTCTTAATACACTCTCTTTCCTATTTTATCCTCACTTTACTCTTTTTAATATACCATATTTCCTACTTTATCATTTACCCTACATACTATATACTTACTTTACTACTTTATTATTAAAACTCGTGCCAAACCCTAAGAGGACTAATAAAAAAGAACGGAGGTAGTATAATTTATTGTGTAAACATTATTGACTAATATGATAATGTAACTTTAGATTTTGTCTAGGGCACCAACCCAAGTAAAGCAACCAGGATTAGTGATTACTACCATGTTTTGGCAGTACCAAACATCAAACATGACAGTATTTTCCAAACCTGGCAGTATTTATTCATATTTAGAAATAAAAAACATGACAGTTCTATTTTGAAATTCTTAAACTGTTTATCCTATTTCGGGAACTTTCCCTTCAAAAGAATTATCAGTGGCGGCCCTAGGGGGTGCAAGGGGAGCGGGCGCCCTAGGCCCAAAAATTATGAGTAAAAAATAGGCTCAAGTTTAGTTCTTTGTAACAAGTGTGAGTAGGTTGATTTTTCGGCCCTAAACTAACAGTTTTTTGAGTAAAATTTGTTGAAGTTCTTTTGAATGCATTTTTTTAAAGAAACTTATGATCATGTTCTCTATGAAGTTTAGAATATGTAAGAAAAAGTCTGTTTAAAGTTTAAGGGATGGGAAATTATCACCCACCTCCCCTAAGGTTTAACGATTTATCAATTACACCCTTATAGTATTAAAAATATGAAAAAACCTCCCTCTATCATTGACAGTGTCAACTTTAACAGCAAGGGTTAATAATTTAACTTGCATACATAATTCATAATTGGATACCCAACTTTCAGAAACCATTGTACCGTAAAAAAAAAACTTCCATAGACCCTCACTTACCCATGCTCACCATGGAAGTGCTTATTGATATTACGCATACTAAGCTAGTAGATGTAGCAAATACGGAGTAGCTAGAACTGCTACAAATCTCTTTCAGGCATGACTTTTAGTTGATTAGTGTGATTCATTATCTCAGTTTGTTTTTTTGTTTTGTTGAAAGAACTCAGTTTGTTAGAATCTCATAATATGTTTTCTCCTTTTGCTAAATTATGTTATCCTCTTTTGGCTAATGAATTCTATTTCGTATTTGAGAATTTGAGAGGCCAAATATGTAATCATGGTTTTATTTTTCAGCACTCATGCTTTTGGGGCTCTTATTTTTCTCTAATGTCTCTAATACCTCTAAGTTAGAGATAATGAGCAACGGCACTTTGTTAAAGGACAAATGTCTTTTTTAGGATTGAGACTTTTTAATTGCAAAATTTGTCTTTTCTTTTTTATTGAGAATGATTCCTTTTGTTATTTCTGATGATGAGGAATTAGTAGTCATTTTTGGCATAATATTCTGGATTTTTGAGTTAGTTCGTGAAAGATAACTAGGGTAGTCAAAACAAGAGTGACATAAAACAGAAGAACTAAAGTCTTGAATTGCCTAAGTTTATAGACCAGGTAGTATATTGGTGAATAACTAATACGGAGTATGATTTTTGCTAGTAAGTACTACATATTACGGAGAAATTAACTTCTACTTTTTATGTCCTATCAAATTTATGAAATACAAAAATGTAATAATGTGTTTATGTCACTCCCTATGTCCCTTAAAACTTTGTCAACTTTCTTTTTTTCGATATCCCACTAACTTTGCCACTTTCCCTTTTAAGTAAAGAATTTGTGATTCCAGTTAATTTCGCTCTCCTCTGCACAAAACTCAATCACACAGTTTTTACTTTATTAATCCTCGTGCCGGTCAAACTTGGCAAAATTTTAATTGACGGAGGTAGTATTATTCTCAATAAAGTATGTTCTTGACTGTAGTTTGTGCATGTTGGGATTTTTTAATGTGCTTAAGAGTTCTCTATTCATTTTAGGGTGGAGTACCCCAGGATCAGGCGTGTATCCTCAAAACTCGGTTATATAGGGTGGAGTACCCAAGGATCGGGCGTGTATCCTCAAAACTCATAGATTACTATTTAGTAATTCAGGACCGAGTGGTGTCCTCATGTTAAGTTGATTTGAACCAGGATATGTATATGAGTGGCTGGGGTTTAAGTCAAGGATATTGACTAATACTATTGTTGAGGTTTATTCCTTCAACCCTTGGGCTCACCACGTAAGCCCAAAGATTTCGAATGAATGGTGAATGTGACTACGTGATGCAAGCAAATAAGATGGGCTTAGAAATATATGCAATAGTGGGACGAGTATTATTAAGTCTAATAACTCCTCGTTACACTGCACTATGCTAAGGCTTGCGGCCGTTCGTCTCACACTCAAGTAGAAGAGCTGCGAGTAATAAGCTAAGAGCTAAATGAATACTAGTAAGCTAAGACAGGTAAGTTGTCAACCCTTTACAATGAAGTAAATGCTACTACCTCCGTCCCCCTAAGTTTGGGACAAGAGAAGGTGGCACGGTTATTAATAAAAGTAGGTTTATGTGGTTGATATTGAATTGATAAAGTAAGAATAAATTATAAATAATTTAGAACCACACAAACTTTACCAAATAAGGTATGAGACAATCTTAGTGGGACGGATCAAAATGGTAAAATGAGACAATCATAGCGGGACGGAGGGAGTACTATTTAACTGTCAAGGGGCAGTTGAATATGCTGATGTGGAGAGTTGTAGATGGCTAAAGCCTCAAGTATATGCTCTAATTAACTTTTGTATATTCCGCCTACGGTTCAAGTATATGTAGTACAGAATATGGTATGTTATACTCAAAAGATGTGTGATGGGTGCTTTCTAATTTATCATGCTAACTTTTGGATGGTTTTTCATTTACCATGCTAGCTTTGGTGTTTGAGGTTAACACTCTTCCGTTAAAGTTAACACTCTCAAATAATACAGGGAGGTTGTTGCAT